TATTTCTAGGTTTCTGTGTTTCCTTATATTCTGTAGGACAAATGAAATGCTGTGAATGCAGCACCAAAGAAAGAGGGCAGGGAATTCTGCTGTACTTACCCTTGCTAGGCAGTATTTATTCCATATTTAGGAGGGGAAAGCTACCCTATTGTCATGGGGAGTAACAAAAGTTTAGCTTAGTCCAAGGTAGGATCAAATTAAGCCTTACATGAATTTACAGACAGTTGTAAGGCACATAAGCTAATAATGAAAAATGCTTGAGAGATTAATATTGCCTTGAAAAATGGTAAATAATTGAGAGGAACAATTTAACAGTTGGTATGTGAACTACATACATTTCAGAAAAGAGTCTACAGACCATAGCTGTACATTAGATATTAAAAAAATACAGGCTTCTGTCAGCAATTTGAACAAATGTTAACAGTTGTGAAGAAAATAAATGATACACAAGCACTGAGATTGAGGACAAACTACATTTCCACAGCACAACTTTACTTTTCAAAATAATCAGGTTTCAGCTGTTCTTGGAATTTTCATTTTGATATTTCATTAGCTGCTGTGGAAATTAGCTGTTGTCTCATTGTCAGTAGGTAGAAAACATTTTTTGGGAAAGCTGTCATAACATTTCACTTAAATACTTACCTTCCAATCTATCATTTACAGTGCTGAGACTGGAAGAGGATGGTAAAACTGGGATTGTCTATTATTCCTCAAGCACTGATGTAGGCTGTTTGTTTTCCTTGGTGCCCAAAAACACAGCATTCCTGTCACTACGACTCTATGATGTGCTCCCCAAACACCTTCTCTCAATATACTTTACATCCTCACTCTGGTACGCACCTGACTGCAGATAAGGGCCAGCACATCCCACCACTACCCTTGCAAATTTGTATACTTTTTCTGCAAGCAAATGCTCAGTTTAGATTCCTCATTTAACAGTTTTATGTATTAAGAACAAACTGATCTGGTCAGGCATTTTGTCCTCTTCTACCTAACTCTAGATGTTTTGAAAGCATCACTGTACACATATAAACAGGAATCTCTGATATACATTGGTATAGAGAGCACTTGAAGACCTTTCTGACTGGTACTACTATAAAGTAAATTGTATTATACTATCTGGAAAAGGTGATGATTCCTCCAAAAGAGCTGTAAGACACCAATAAAATTGCCTCTTCCACTAGCTATGTTTAATTTTTCAAGTTTCACCAAACCAGACTGGTAAGGAAGAAAGGCGCCAGAGTTTTCAGCACTATAAATGGTAGGTAGGAAAGTGAGATGTTTACCAAACAGCTTCCCATTACAATCTCCTAGTACTATAGACGTATTCAGCTTATGCATATATTGACTTTAGAGCGCACTGCAGCATGTGCACTCACTTCGTGAATACCAGGATGCCTCCCGGTAGGGATGGAGAGGGTAACAAAGAGGTAGCAGACACAGGTGATGGCACAGATGTCCCTTGTGCGGTACCACCCTTTGTGCCACCGGCCCGTACTTACACTTCAGCCAGCGGGCTCCGGCGTGTGTGTCCTTGTCCCGGATCAGCCTCCTCTGCGTGCAGCTCCTGCACAGGTACCACAGCATCCACAGCAGCTGGATGAGCATCAGCGTGATGAGGTAGGAGAGCAGGTGGCTCTTGCTGATGCCCACGGCATGCACAGCCCAGGCGAAGGTGAGCAGCAGCCCGGCCAAGAAGAGGTTGATGCCGTACTGGCTGCTGAGGATCTCGGCATTTTTCTGCGGGTAGCTGCCGCCCACCGCAGGGTACCCGGCGGCTTGCTCCATCTCCCCTCCGCCGGCCAGGCGNCGGCCCGGCCGTGCCCTGCCCGCGGGCCGCTGAGGCTTTTGCGGGACACCATTGCCTGAGACTGACAGCAGCTGGGGTCCAGACCAGGGTAAGGAGAAGTCACTCGGACGAAGGTTAGCTTGGAGCCAGCCCTGCCCGGCTGGTTTTGGGGCGAGACATGGGGGTTACGTCGGTGTTGAGCCACCTGTGCGGTGTAACACGTTCTCTGCACAGGAAGATGCGAAAAACACCGAGTATTGCACAAAACCCCGGCCCGACGGCTGGAAAGCCGAGAACGGCCAAAACCTGGGAGCCGGCGAAGCTGGAGCCTGCCCTGCAGCCAGGGAGCCACCAGCTGCTGATGGAGCTCCTTCCACGGTGAGGCAGGGGATCACACCCGTGCTTCACACTCTGGGCCCCACAGGCCATCTTCTTTTGGCCAATCCGTACCTTCATTGGTAGGACAGAACCTCAGTTTTCAGGAATTCTCTAGACATTTTAAAAGTGGCAATTTACCCTTTTTTTTTGAAACTGTTCCCATTGTTGTCCCATTCTGACAGCACAGTACTATAGGAATTGCTAGCTGGAGAAACAACTACTGAGCTTAAAGCAGCAAAACCCTCTGCAGAATTTAGTCCACTTCTTATACATTTGTTTTCCCAATATTTATGCACACTTTCAGTATTGACCCTTTTCTACTTAAATTGAATTCTCTTAACTTAAGGTATTAGAGTACTGAACATAGCTTGGAGGCCAAACACCAGGGTAGATTGGTCCTTGTTCTGGCCAAGTAGGTCTTACATTTTTGCTCTGTACCTGTTGGTTGCATATTGATTACCAAAAACATTGGTTTTTACAGTGAGTGACCCACACCTTGTATGAAATAAAGCCACCAGTTCAACTACAATAAAAATTTTTAAAAAAAAATAAATTGAAAATACATCTATTTTGCTCCACTTCCTTGGCAAAGGAGTAGATTTAAGCTTTTTCTCTTCTGAAGCCAGAAATTTATAATAGAGGGGTTCTTCTCATCTGACAAAGGGCACTTTTGAACTTACATAAAAGTGTCTGGGGTTCACAAGCCTCTTAAAGAACAGGGAAGAAAAATGGCAGAAAGGTGGAATGAGTGAATTCCGGACAATCATCTATTTAGGTAAACATAAAGAAGTAGTAGATCCTGTCCTTTATTCATTTTGTCCTGTTCTCAAGAAATAGGTATTTTAAGCCATCTGCAAATTTTCCTTTTGAGGAATGCACTTAACAGGAGGTCAGCCCTATGCCTGTCTATATGGCCTGATAAGAGAAATAAAATTCAAAAGCATAACTAGTCAAACAGTCAGGCTTCAATCACCTCTAGGTCACAGCTACATCCATCATTATCAGAAATGGCATTGTGGAAGTGTCAAATCCTACGTCTATTTCATATGATGCAACCTTTAAAGAATAACTAAGGAAGATGCTTCCATTTTACAGAGCTTCGATGTGTAAGAGTGATAAATAATCTTCACTACGTGGTTACTACATATTTTACTTCAAATTATCTAAGTGCATCCCTTGTCACCTGTGAAGGAAAGAGATTTGGTGCTGGTACACATCCTCATCCTGAAATGAAGCAATGTAAATGGATACAGAAGACACCTATGGTGGTCTGTACCAAGAGAATACATTCAAGGAGTTCACAGAAGTGGCAGTAGAATTGTGTCAGGTTATAACAATTAAAATAAGTTGTTTTACATTCTTACCAGATTTGCCACTACTTGCTTTTGAGCATGTAAGTGAATGAGTATTGTGCTGGATACTCAGATCTGTTACTGAAAGACTTTGCTGGACTTTGTACAATGAACGTATCTACCCAGGATTCTCAGAAAGACATCAAAGTAGTCAAAGGCAAACAGCTCTCCAGAGGTGAGCAGAGTGCTAGTACACCTTCAGTAAACCCAGCTGAGGGGGCATGAAAGACACTCAGAATCATGTACAGTATTTAAAATCTACATGAACATCTATTTTATAGAAGCAGTGAGATGGGGTGGAAGTCTTCAAGAAAGTATAATTGAACAGTTAAACAATTAAATACCGAACAACTATTGGTCACTTTTGTACAAAGTTTATTAAGATGTTCAGAAGAATGAATTTGAAAAATCATGTAGCAAATAGTAATTTTAATTCAGAACACAAGGCAACTTAAAACACCTAGAGCATTTATATAGCTGACAAATAAAAATACAGCTATAAAACCATCCCTGAGCAATACTGCATTTTAAATATTATAATAAAGTTACTCAGATGTACCTGTGTACGCAGACATAAAATTGTTAAAACCTTTTAAAAGATGAAGACCTGAAGATAAGCAACTTGCACTTTAAAGATGTGAAGCATGACAGGTTTTGGCAAACTTAAATATTACATTTAAACAAATCAATGCTAACTTACCCTACAAACTGCTTCAAATAGTGCTGAATGAACTTTATTTTGGTTTGTCTGATCCTCTGTATTACATACTACTGGGTCACAACTTTTTTTCGTTAATGGAACAGTAACAGCCAAAGACAATGTGTATCCCTTTCATTACTAAACATTCCATGTATTTAGCAGTGGTGTGTATTTGGGAGCCAGAATGAAGAATGCAGTGTCTTTTGACAGTCCAGACTTTAAGCACTCACAAGGAGTAGATTTTAACAGGTTTCGATACACAATTTCTACATTCTCATATTTTCCAAAAGGCATGGGTGGAAAAGTATTTACACAAGGATCTACATAAAGTGCTCTAGAAACTAGATCGTGCCCAGGTCTTCAGATAGTTAAGTATCTCAGTCAACATGAACAGACACCTAATAAAAATAAAATGCTATTTTATTTTCCCAACTGAGTATAACTCGTAGCTTTTAAGTTAATATCAGCACCTTCATTGCTGAGGAAGGAAAATGGCAACTTCATTAACAAGCACTGCTAAGAATGAAAAGTGAATTTACAGAAGAAAAAACAACCTGAATACTGAAAAACACTTCATACATCAAAATAATTTAATGTGTGCTCCAAATTTCTTGTGTAGTGTTAATATTGTTCATTGTATTGCTGGTTATTCACAGCTTGATTATCTACCTTTGGCTGTGGACAAACTGTATGAGCACAAGTAGAATTTATTTGTTTAATTGATGGCACTGCCAAATGTCAACCAGCTTTCCCTTACCCCTATCCATACTTTTTTTTTTTTTAAACACTAGCAGATCTGAACTCAAGACATTAGATAATAAAGTATTTCCTACATGGTAACATATATAACAGTAGAAATTTAACAGATAAAGAAATGTCTCCTGTAAGTAAGTTTACAAGTACAAACACAGGTTCCAGATAACAGTATTTTACCTGTCAATTCAAATGGAAAGAATATAGTATTAAAACCCCACAACACTTGATTTAAGTATCACTTACTTCCAAATCAAACAACATGATTTGAGCAGGAAGTTCAATTAGGTGACCTCTGAGGCCCCCAGAGATAATATTTACAGGTCCCTTTCAACACTAACTATTCTATGGTGCTATTACTTACTACTCATGTGTTTAATATTCAAATATAAATAGAAGCTTTACAAAGCTTTACAAAATGAAAGGCCTCATGTTACTAAGAGATGTAAAACCTATCTATCTTCCAATTAATCCAACTAATCAGTTGCTTTTTCCTATGGTTATGTCCATTGATTCATACATCAAGTAGATTAAGAATTACTGTATTAGTTAGAGCAAAGAGCCAGTATTAGAAACAACAGAAGTACTGGAATGTAACAAAAGTGACATACACTTTGCAGGATTACAGTTACTTGAGTCCTTCACATGAAGCTGAAAGAAAAAAAAAAAAAAAAAAAAAACAAATTTAACAAAAATGTTTGAAGGTTCTATACACTGCACAAGCTGTATCATGCACTAAATGAATTAATGATTTTGGAACACCAAGTGATAACTTGTCCCTAATTATTAGACAAATAATTATTTGACCTAATACAGAATTTTCCCACATAACTCAAGTGTTCAGAAAGAACACAACTAATGACAGAACCAACAACATGGATATGTTTTTATCACCAAGTGTGACCTATGCACCCAAAGTAAAGAGGTTCTGAATTAAGTATTGTATTTTTCAGAAGTCAGCGTTTTGTCAGAATAGAAGTTAGTTAATTATCTCCTTAAAAATCAGGTTTCTTGATCTCTCAAAAATAGAGAGGAAAATGTAACAGTGGTTCAGTTTGTTATTAAAAAGAATAAATAAGTTTCACCATCTCAGCCATTAAACATTTTTTGCCTATAACTGTGTCAGTACAAGAGGCTACACTCTAAGTCCAGCAATCCAGCACAGTCTTCCCCTATTTACTGAGCTGTATTTGATGTCTTCCTTAGCTTTTTACATTTCACTGGATTAATTTCATAAGTATAACCTAACCAAAGATGTGGCAGTTATTGAGAATGCATTTTTCAAGTCAACAAAACAGATGGGCTGGCCTTTGAAGAGTTCCTTTTAGAAAGAACAAAGAACTTCTCATATCTGGCAATTTTCCAAACAACAGGTTGATCTGGGCTGTGCATCACAGAAAATGAAAACAGCAGACTTGCAGACAAAGATATGACAAAGATTTTCAATTAAAAAAAATAGAGAAGGCCTTTGCACATGGATGTTGATATCTTCTCCCCTTCAGTATGAGGTCAAGCAGCATTACTAAGAAATTCTCCTAGTCTAGGTAGAAGCTGCAGGGTTTTGGCCTGTACATCTCCAAACTATCAATTCTCAGTAATGTTTCTTTTCAACATCTAGAATGGAATTTTATAGAAGTGGAAAAGATATTCTTCCCCTGTGGATAACTACAAATTCTCTGGTTACTCTATATGCCACAAAATATCACAATTCTAAGAATGTACAAAAAACATAGAGAAGGAATCCCTAAATGGCCTCCCAATCCTTAAATGTCTAACAAAGCATTTCCCACAACAAGATAAATACATTTATGTGCTTAAAAATTTAATTATTTACCTGAAGGGTTTATCCCAGGAGTGACACAAGCATCACAACACCCATAAACTGAATGAAGAGCAACACAGGTGTAAAAAATGACCAGACAGGCCACAAGGCAACATTGAAACTGCAAATAAAAGCAGAAAGTATTTGGCAAGTTCAGTTCTCATATTACAGAAACACCAGGCATACAAAGGAAACATGTCAAAAGAAATAAGATTTAAATTACTTAACCTGAAAATATACTTCTTCATTTCTGAAAACAGAACACATCAAGGGTAAAAGGTAAAAATACATTTTACTTTCATAAAATCTGTATCTGAAGCCCTGAAAATGACCTACTCTTTGATTTTTCCATGAACATACATGGCAGCTGAGAGAAGCCTTCATCTGAACTTTCATCCAGATTTCAGTTAACTGAAGAGACAGAGGGGAAACCCTTATTTTACAACTGACTTACAAGAATAACAGATTTGACTAATTATAAAACATAGGGAACCTTTATTTTCTTTAATCTTCCTTTTTTTCACCGTTGCAACAAATACCAACTGATACTCCAGTACAATAGCTAAACAAGAGGAAATAAATTTTCATGTAGAAAGCAAATAAATATACTGGCACAGTGTATGTAATTTTCTTCATCCACATTTGCTCAGCTCTGACTCATATAACCTCATAAAGTACCTACTTTTTTACATAAAGTAAAGCAACTCTCACTAAAAGTACCATTCTCAGATAAAATATAAACCCTTAAAACTCATATGGCAATAGTCAGAAGTCTAACATTTTGTGTATGTCTGCTACTTAGTTTGTTTGATAACGAAGAACTCTGACAGAAACTGATTGAGCTGAATTTTTTCTCAGATAGAGAGAGTGCATCTTTGTCTTAATTTGTAAACTGCACAAGCAGTTGCCATAGGTGAGAAATTTACACTAACAAAGATAACAACTTCAATTTTCCCCTAAATTTTCACGACAGAAAAGATCCAGTACATCTCCAAGTACACCATACAGTTTCAACTGTTCCAACTCTTGCTTTGTGGATGAAAGTGCAAGAAATTATGCTACATAGAACTGGTATTGTCACCAATACACATAGCAGAATTACAGAAATTATACTTTTTATAAAATGAGACTGTTAACATACAGACTTGCACAGGTTTAGCAGAACTTTGCACAGTGTTTGAACTCACCAAATTGCTGCTGCTATAAAGGTAGCTGTTGTGATAGGAATCAGTGCAGGGTACTGTTCATCATAGTCCTGAATTCCACAGTACCACTCAAGATACAGTATGCAGTAAAAGGCAACAGATAAACATGCAGCCAATAAACAAGTGCCACAGGAAAGCCACCAGCTGCGGGAAGAAAAGCACATTAAACCATGTTTAGCACATTGCTGTTTGCACAGTAATCTGCAGTCTACAAACAGAACAGGCAATATCTGTTAAATACACAGGTTGTGGCCTAGAGTTCCAGTAGGTTTTACCTTAAATTAATTTTACAAAACACTTTTTGCCCTTCAAAGCTGTCTAATATAAACCACTGACTTTAATTTTGCAATGAAACATTCCTTTCATATATTGTGCCCTAAAACGTTGTAAATTCAATGTGACAGATCTTGTCAGGAATCTACTATACCACCACACCAAAACCACTTTGTCACTAATAAAATAAAATAGGCTCCACTGCAACTGTGCTTTTCACTATAAATTAGGCTGGTGATCTTTGTGCAACAGAAATGCTGCAGAATGCTTTAATATGGTTTCAGTTTGTGAACTCCTAAATTTAACAGACAAGAAGCATGGAGATTTTTCTTTGTAACTGCTGAAGAAAACCATGGAGAAATCCAGAATTTTAAACTCAGAATAATAAAAAACACAGGGTATGTAATTATTTAAGGAGGCACCCTTTTGAGCCTCTTTGAGGATACTCTTCCAAGATTAGTTCAGATAAAGCAACTTGAGAGGAAGATGCACTTTAATAATTTTTTATCTGAACTTGTATTAACAAATAAAAATTTTGAAAAATTAATTATTACCATAACTTGGTTACTAAATTACAAAGGGTAATCAAGGATTTTCCTATTCAGGAAGCATTTGCTCTGGAATGGTATAGCAAACAGAAACAAAAGATTTCTACTTTGAAATCTTGTTACTACCAACTGAGGATTCTGCACTAAGAGAATTGTTGCCATGGCCTACCTAGACAAGCAGTGCAGAAAGACAAGGTCCTGACCCCAAATTTTGATTACACCTTGGAGTCACTGCTTTTGCTTTTGCAGTCAGGTGTATGAAGGGTGTTAACTAGCCTGGAAGAGCAGCTCCTGAAAACCTCACAGCACAGAGCAAGGCCCTGTGCAGCTTCCATGTACTGATATAACAATGACAACAGCAATGCTGTTTTAAAAGCACTTCCATCTGAAGCTATCTAAAAACATTTAACACACATCAATCTCATCGAAAATAATAGAAAAGAAATAGATTAGAAATAAAGATCACTTCATTGAAATTATTTCACTAATCTTTTGCTGACCTACTCAAAATCATCTATAGATCTTCTAGAGAAATGAACTTCTGTTTGACCTTTAAGGAAAAATTTCAGGGGATTTATTGTAAAAATAAAACCAAAATCTAAATACTTCCAACAAAACAGGCAGCTATTTCTCAGACTTAAATGAAAACTTGAAGGTACAGTATTAAAATGTCTGGTATTAGAGCAAACTTTGCACATACAAAGATGTCTCAGTAAAGTTTATAGAGAAAAAAAAATTGTAGCAAATTTTAAGCATTGTATTTACTTTAAAATTAGTTCAATAATATCACCTTAGGTGGTCATCTGGTCCAACCTCCCTGCTCAAGCAAGCTTAGCTACTGCCAGTTGCCCAGAATCGTGTCCAGATGGCTTTTGAGTATCTCCAAGGATGGAGACTCCACAACCTACATAAGGCAACCTGTTCTGAGCTCAGCCATCCTCACAGTAAAAAAGTGTTTCCTGATATTCAGATGGAACCTCCACCATTTCAGTTTGTGCCCACAGCCTCTGGTCCTGTCCTGGACACCACTGGAAAGAGCTTAGCTCTGTCTTCTTTGCGCCCTCCCTTCAGGTATTTACATGCATTGACAAGATGCCTCTGAGCCTTCTCTTCTCCAGGCTGAACAGTCCCAGGTTTCTCCATTACTACTGCAGATCTTGTTCATCCATGATTTAAAATACAGTGACCAGATGTAACAAACTGAGTATGACTAAAACACACCTTTTTGTAAGAAAAGATACCTTACCTATCTGCTTGCATAGTTTCTTTAATATTTTTTAAAAAATCAAAGTAGTATGTCACAGCTATTGATGCCAAAATCCAGAATGCAGAATGAATATTCAGTCTGTTAAGAGGCCTCATCGTCTTCTCTACAGCTGTAGACTCTTCTGTAAAGGAGAACATAATTATAGCACTAAAGCCAGTCATTAAATGGAGGATGATTATAGTTATGTAAAGCATGATGCTTTATCTTTTTAATTCATTTATCTTGGGAGATTATTCTACACATCATAATACACTTTGTACTACAAATATTCTAAAAAGCTTTGAACATTTACTGAAATGAAACAGACTAAGCAAGGTACCCTTTGATAAAAGAATAAAGCAGTAACAATCAGCACAATATCTGTGTCTTTTTAGGAAACAGCTGACTAGCTTTTATAAGCGTTAACTAATTTAAACCCTCTGGTGTTATTAAAGCATTTTTTATTAATCTAGCATATAGCATTTCAGGATATTATTTCCAATTACTAACTTATTTGTACCCTTCTTTATGAATTTTAGTATTTGCAAAAACATTGCAGGCATAAATAATTTTCTTTTTCTCAGCTGCAGATAATTTACAAATTTTCAGCTGCAGTTTCAGGAGCTAGCTTGGCTTACACTGCACACTTTCAGCAGGTAAACTACAACTATCACTGTGCAGGAAACCTTCTCTTTTTCCCCTCATTGCCATGTACTGTTTTAGAGAGACACATCACAGAGAGCAGATGAGAAAGCCTTTTTTTTGTCCACGACAGTAACCATGTAACACAGTATTTATACACACTGTCCAAAAAGGCGTCAGAGGTCAGTGATTTTGATGTCTCACACTCCGAAGTTTTATCACTAGGAGTTCCTGGCAGCTTTATTTTTCTTTTCCTAGATTCCTCCCCATCCTACTGGAGCTTGGGTCTGGAGCATTCGAGCAGTTCGCGGCCCCAAGCCCCTGGCGTCTCCCACACCCAGCTCGCAGGCAGGAGCGGACACCTGAGGGCAGACGGGGCCGCGCTCCGCGCCGCTCTACCCGAGGCGGCCCCACTGCCGTCCCAGCGCCCGCCCGGCG